TGGTAATCTTTTCTGTGTTGTTACAGTTTTAATTGATGTCCTGAAAAACAGTGTCCAAATAACTCAGATCCCTTGCGAGCCAGAAGGACCTCATAACCTTGTGAGGGGCGCCAGGCCTCTTTCCTGACTTTTATAATAAAGGACTTTTGGGCCGGGAAAAAAAAAAAAAAGAGCCCCTCAGCGGCCAACACGAGCGTAGCGTTCAACAATCTAGCACCCAGCCAATCTCGAACAAGACGCTTGGTACTCCAAGGAGAAAGCCCATCACACCGTGATTAGCGTCGAAACAAGACCTATTATCAGCATAGCGTCCAACAATCTATCGCCCAGCCAATCCCGAACAAGACCTGGTAGCTCAGTTGGTTACAGCTTTGGCTTTGCAAGGGGGAGGCTGCGGGCTCGGTTCTGTGGACCCCCTTGCACACTCGGTACTCCAAGGAGAAAGTCCAACACACCGTGAGTAGCATCCAAACAAGACCTATTATCGTCCATCCGAAAAGGAAGTAAAACCACCTACCATGATTACCCACAGCAAAAGGAGAAAGGCCAGCACAAACGCCTTTAGATCAGTTTTTCTAGCAGGCCGCAGGCCACAGCAAAAGGAGAAAGGCCAATGCAAACGCCTTTAGATCAGTTTTCTCTAGCACGCTGGGGAAGCAGCAGCTGCAGCGGTGGACATTCCACAGTACGTGGACATTCCATGCAACAGTATGTGGACATTCCATGCAACAGTACGTGGACATTCCATGCAGCAGTATGTGGACATTCCATGCAACANACATTCCATGCAACAGTACGTGGACATTCCATGCAACAGTATGTGGACATTCCATGCAACAGTACGTGGACATTCCATGCAACAGTACGTGGGCATTCCATGCAACAGTACATGGACATTCCATGCAACAGTACATGAACATTCCATGCAACAGTACGTGGACATTCCATGCAACAGTACATGCTACACGAAAAGCTATAACAACTACAGTAGTGCACACCCTAAACCACAAACAAGGCCAAGGTAAGGGCCGAAGACCAGAGGCTCGGAACAGGGCTGTTTGGCAAGGCGTTGTCCAAATGAACAACAGAAAGGGCCTCGCTCCACGACTCTCGAAATGTGCAAAATGGGAATGAATCATCCGCTAGAACTTGGAAAGATGCACCACCTTATTTTTTTGCTTTTGTGCATGTCGAGAGTAGCAGAACCAGGCCCGAAGATAGTGAAAACAAAACAAAACAAAACAAAGGAAATTGCATGTGCATCGTGGAGCTGCTGGCAGGTGCTTGAGTGGATTGAGTAGAGCTCTGTATTTTCAGTTTGCAGTAGTCCACAGAGCACACGAGCACACACTGTTGGAGTTTCCGTCCCTGACGCGGCGGTGTTTGACTCTTTTGGCGGAGAGGCTGTTTCAGTTTTATTCCCTGCTGTTTTTCACCAAGCAGTTGCAACCAAGCACCTTTGCAGCCAGGAAATCCCCCACCGCACAAGTAACGAAGGAAAATGCCGAACAAGAATAGTTGCTCGAAACTTCGAAGTTTGAACCCATAACCTGGCAGGTGACAGCACGAATGAACCCACTGGCATTACGAGTCCAGATTCTGAACGTTAAAGTCTGTTATTGAGTCAAAGACTTCAAAGTCTCCCTGATTGAACCCGCTTGTTGTCCACTACTCTCTGAAAGTTAGGAGCCGGTCTTGCATGATGCCATCCCACAAGTCGCTGCTTTCCATCCATGGGTCCAGGGAGAGTGGCCCACATGTCGGGCACACCAGTTGGTTCGGTGCTCGGCCTGGTGGCGCGGAAGCTGCCATGCGACGTGCAAGATCGTCTACTTCTTCTTCTTCTTCTTCTTCTTCTTCTTCTTCTTCTTCTTCTTCTTCTCCTCCTCCTCCTCCGTCTTCTTCTTCTTCTTCTTCTTCTTCTTCTTCTTCTTCTTCCTCCTCCTTGTTTGTCTGTGGAAGGGGTGTCTCCTCCACATCACTGTACCTGAATTCTTGTCCCTGTCGTTGTTCTCATTTGCTTGCTTGCTTGCTTTGCTTTTTGGAATAGTCGTCGTTTTTTTTTGTTGTTGTTGTCTTCTTGTGTTTATAAAGTGCATAGACGCTCACAGTATAGTTGTATCCGACAGGATATGAACTCTTGATCTGCTTATAAACAGTTGCATGGATGTGTGCCATTCAGCAAAACAGGTAGGTCAAACTTTTTTTCGTCGTCACTGAGGTCTTCTCCTAGCTATCTTTTGAAAACCCTCGTCGACATTGCGGAATACGTAACAAAAAAAATGTTGTTGTATGATAATTATCCCTTTGTGTGTACAGGCGTGGCAGCCTGATGAGGTGTTGGTGGTTGGAGCGATCCCGGAGGAGGCAATCAATGACCTTAAGGAATTCTGCCGCCCACTGCTGGTCGACGGAGCAGAGCGCATGCAGCAGCAGGAGGTTGCGCAGAAAGCCTGGGCGGCGAGGGGGATGATCCTCATGGGATCGGCAGCTGTCCATGTTGCAGAAGGTTTCCTGGCAGAGGCACCAAGCCTGGAGATCATCGCTGTCGCTGGGAGTTCTGCGAAGAACATTGATGTAGACGCCTGCACGCGCAGAGGTAAAAACACGAATGCTTTATGCACCCAACCCCCCCACTTATCCTCCCCCATCCTACAGACCCGCCTTAAATCTCCCTCCCACAAATCCGTCTTAACCCTCCCTCTCACAAACCCGCCATAATCCCCCTCCCCAAAACCCCCCTTGCTGACTGTTCCAAAACGTGTTTCAAACTAGGCTTACCGGGGATGGCCGGTTGTGCAGAGCTGGTAGGTAGGGCACTCGTGCAAGTCGCTCGCTCGGCCAGGGTGTAGGCAAAAATCTGAGATTTTTTTTTTCTCTCTTTTCCGTCAGCGGGACTTTTCTGCGCCCACCAAAAGTAGCAGCCTAAATCCGGGATCCTTTTGTTTTTCAGTGTTATCCCTCGAGAAGGAGGGGGGGGGCATAAATGAGGCCTACAGGGGCTTAAAGGGGTCTAGAAGGGGGAACGTTAGTTCCATTTTTCGATCTCCTTTTCTATCTTCGTTTCTCCAAGGAATTGTTTGCAGTGCAATCTTACACAACATAATTCTTCTCCAGAGTTTTTAATTTTTGCACTGGGGCTGCCCGTAGGTCCTCCCCGGCCATGCGGACGTCTGGGCACAAATCCGTGCCCGTAAGCACGGACAAATGGTCTAGGTTTTAAAATTTAAACCCATCTTTAGTCCCATCCCCTTCAACCGCTTCTAGTCCCCTCCACCTCCACCTCCCCAAGCCTCTGCCTGCTCCAACTTCCTTCCTTCCCCCTTTATCCGTCTTCTCCTTCCCTTCTTTTTCTTCTTTCTTTTTCTTTCTTTTTCTTTCTTTCTAATGTGTGTCATCCTTGGGCAGGCGCCATGCTAATATTCTCTCTATCCTTCCACTTTTTTTAACAGATGTCCCGTTTCGTCTTTCTTTTTTTCAGCGCATTGCAACTTCTTTTCCACCTCCCTTTTGGTCCTCCTTGTTTTTTTCCCACTGTTTTTGGGAATCGGACCCCCCATCGTGTTTACGTTCTTTCGACTCTACCCCTTTCCATTTCATGGTCAATCGGCTTGGAGATGAACTCTAGGCAACGGGTAATGCTGCTGAGTCCTGACTGTATGCATTCATTACGAGGTTGGGTTGGGCAAGCCTGGGCGTCTTGCAGGGCTTTCCATAGGTTGTGACTCTGTAAGGTTTTTTATTATCTTTCTGTTCTTTTTCTATCACTAACGAACAGGTGTTTGTTAACTTTATACCTGCCTGGTGGTGGCTGCATGACACAGACCTACAACTGATAGGTGATGAGTGCACTAGTGTGTTCGAGAAAACATGGAGCAACCCGTCTTTCCCCGAGAGCATAAGATCACCCTCACGATGACTGTTTCCGACCGGAAGATATAGCTTGTATACATTCATGGTGAGAGCGCGTTCTGTTCGGGTGGGAGGAAGTGTGTCGGTGCATGGAACCTTATCATCGTCACGATGCCAAATTGGCGCATACCAGCCCCTGATAGGTCATGACTTATATGAGTGCCTACTGTGTCAGAGAGAACATGAAAAAAGTGGTTTTGTGCAAAGCAGGGTGCGAAAGAGAGAAGACTGCAGCAGTGGAGAGGGAACGGGACTTATGCTCCCCACCCAGAATGGATATGGAGCCAGGACCATAAGGACCTGGTGTCTCTTCAAACACACACAAAGTCCGACAAAACAGTCTGGCACAGTCATGATTTTCTTTGTGGAGTTGTGGATAGCGACATGACACCACACACACACACACACACACACACACACACAGCCTTGTAGATGTAGAGGCACAGTAAAAGGGGAGTTGCAAGAACAAATGAAAGGTGTTATGGGTACCCAAAGAAAAGAGCCGAAGTGAACACAGTTGAGAGAGGGATTTAAATTTTAAACGCTTCTATTATGCTCGGTGTTGCTTCCTATAGAGGTAAAAGTTCTGTAAAACTGTTTCATTGTTGGATTGGCTCAGCTCAAGTGTTTTTTGGGGACTAACTTTGATGTTGGACCCACTCAACGTCGATGGTGGAATAGGGGCGGTTGTGGTGAAAAGTCGAAAACTCAAAACAGACGTACACAAACGCACACACACACACACACAGACACATGCGATTGGGTATCCATGGCTGTGGGCGTGTAGAGTGGGTTTTATGGCTGTGTTAGACTAGGTAGTTGCTCCAACTTACTGCCGTTCTCATCAGGGGTTTGGACCGACAGTCTGCCCAGATTGCATTGCAGGGTTGGCGTACTAAAGTCGATCGCCCTGGCCGACGTGGTGAGTTCTTATCTATCAGTCAAATGCATCCTGGGAAGACTGTCTGTCCAGGTTCAACCTCCTTCCTGATGAGTCGGTGAAAGTCCGACAAAACGGTTGGGCACAGTCATGCTTTTTATTGTGTAGTTGTGTATAGCGAATATGACACCTCCCCCC